ATGGCACAGACTGAGGGGAATGACTGTAAGTTTACCAGGTTCCTGGTTTCCATCTTCCGGCTTATAAGGGGAACCTTAAAACACAGAGAGACACCAAAACCCCCGACGAAAAGGGCTTTCAGTAATGTTCTAGCAATAGGGAATCTGCTTAATCCCGGTACTTGTTCGCTTTTCCACATTTTAATATCTCTGAAGTTATAATGCTTCTACTATCAATGTGATAAGCACTGTGTCAGTTTGGTGGTGTCTTTTTCCTTCCCAGAGGTACATAAAATAATTGTGTATCTTGGTATAACTGCAGTAGTGTAAAAAGCAAAACAATGTTAGTGTATTTATATATGTGTATAAACTCATTGAAAATAACTGTAAGATATACTCCAGAAACTTAATTAATGGTACAAACTTTTATGAAAAAAGATTTATTTTTTCACTCTGAGTTCTATTCTATTTGAATGTTTTATATTGTCACATACTACATTATTAAAAACAAGGACAATTTATCATCTTAAAGCAAATTAATTATTTTAAACTGACCATCCATGCAGGTTAGGAGCTGGGCTACGATTCTTCGTTCCATATCTTTTGAAGCAACTTCTCTTTTGGGGGTTATAGCATCAATTTCATCAATAAAAAGGATACAGGGTGCATTTGACTAGAAATAAGAATATCACAAAAACAATTATAAATATATCCCTCTACTAGAGCATAGTTAAGTATATACATTTTTAAAAATTTTGTAGTTCAACAATATTTCGCCAAAAGAATAACCCTAAGGAAGGCAGTTCACAGTATGTTATCTCTGATGTTTATCTTAAGAGAAGCAAGTTACTTAAGAGACTGCATATAGGATAATAGTATAACACTTTAAATTAGAACAATGAAGCTCACTACAGATGCTCTGAGTGTCCTACTGACATAAAAAAGCCCATGCTCTTCCTGGAATCTGCTGTGAGAGGCATTAAGAAGCGCCAGGGACTTTTAGTTTTTACTGTGGTAAAATACACATAAAATTTACCATTTTAATCATTTTAAGCATACAGTCCAGTGGCATTAAATACATTCACACTGTTGTGCAACCGCCACCAGAACTATCGTCTCCAGAACTTTTTCATCATCCCATACTGAAACCACCAGGGGCTTATTTTGAAGACTATACTGAATAAAGAAGGACGGTGAAGTTCCTATACATTGGTGCAGATAATGATCATCTTTAGTTTTTTTAAAACAAACTAGAGAGAGTTAAGATAGATTAAGTTAATATAAGCATCAACTACCTAGAGTGGTCAAACTCATAGAGGCAGAAAGAACAGTGGCTGCCAGGGCCTGGAGAAGTGTTTAACAGATAGAGTTTGAGTTTGAGACAATGCAAAGGACTGGAGGTAGACGGTTACACATACAATATGACTGTACACTTTGAAATGTTTAAAACAGTAAATCTAAGTTAAACATCCTTTACCATAATAAAAAAGACAGGTAAGAATGAGTTAAAATGAAAACTTTAAATAAAAATATCTAGATCTACAATGTAAAGCATAGCTCATTCTTCTTCAGTGGTTAAGAGCGACACTGATGACAGCAAGAGTCAGACTCGGCCTGGCGAAGCCTCAAACCACGGGGACTGCTGCAATTTAAAGGGAAAATAATTTGGCCCCCCAGTAGGTGGCTCTCTTCCCAATCCCCCTCATGATAGTGTTCCCAGAGAAGTACCTGTGACTGATGGATACATTACCCAGTTACAAAAGAGAAAAGTTACAGAGACCAAAGGTCTCAGGAAGCAAGAACAATAGCATTTAACAATGACCTGGAAAACTGAATGAGAAAAAGAAGAAAAGAGTAAGTGATGGTCATCAGAATTTAGACTAAAGAAAGCACGGTTTTCAACAACAGTAATAACAAAAAACATTCGTTTTGATGTGGCCTTTTTGTCCTCTGATTCACTTTCGTGTACTCACTTCCATCAGGGAACAGGGAGTCTGGGAAAGAGGGGTGTTATACTATATATATACACACACACATATATATATATATGTGTGTGCGTGCGTGTGTGTGTGTGTATATATATATTGAACGTCGACTCTCAGACATCTTACCAACTCAGTACTAGCTGAGAGAGAGATGTTAACAAGAACCACCACCTAAAGATGCCATTTGTCTCTTTTATCTTCATTCATCATTGTGTTTACCACAAACACAAGCTTTACTACTCACTCACTAGCTCATTTTGAAAAACGGGTAACACTTGCTTTGCACAGTACCCTTGCACCCTTCCGTTCCATCTTCCTTATATTGTCCATGCCCTTTTCAATGTCAGTCTACACATCAAACCAAGTAGACAGCTTCTACAGTCTTGCTATTTTAAAAATTTCCTCGATTACTGCTAAAATTCAACTTCTAATTTTTTATCTGTTTCTAGCAGTTGCACTGGCTATTTTTACCAGCCTCTATATCTCTATATATTCTGGGGGCAAATAATGACATGAAATTAAAACTTCTCACCATTTTTAGATTTTACCCATTGTGAAGACTGGTGATTACTCAAGTGTGCAAAATGTCACAGCTACTATCTACAAAGCTTTTGTTGTGTGCTAGGCATTAGACGTTTTAGGAGAATCCCTTCATTTAATACTTACAATAATCCCAAGAGATCTGAGTAATATTATTCACCTGGTTTACTAGTAAGGACACTAAGAGTGGTTATCTCTTGTCCAAGATTCCACAATTACTACGTGGTGGCATAAGGATCTGAACCAAGTTTCCTACTTCAAAGTACAGACATTTAACTGTTACGCTATATGGAAGATAAAACTTTAATAGGACACAAATGTCAGCTTCCTCGGAAAGTCTTAAACACCCAAATGTTAATAAAATGAATTACAATTAGGATAAAACCAAATCTATAATTTCTCTGGTGACAGAATTTTCTTTTCACAGCTTCAATTATGCAACTAGAGAAGAGTTTATCCTGGCATTTCTATGGTTGTTTTTATAATGTGACAACTCTGATGTTAAAAAATTTCACACTGCTTACAAATTTTTTTTTTTGGTCAAACTTAAGCTACAGAAAGTAAAAGTGAAAGAAATTATCACAATAATAAATTACTTCCAACACATGACTACTGGGTATGACAACCAAGTATGGTGAGAAGTTCTGGGTTTAACTACATGACCCAGTAGTCATGTGTTGGAAGTAAGTTATGTTTGGTTTCAGATTAAACAGATTATTTTATACAACAGTAAACCTCCAGCAGTAAACCTCCAGCAGTAAATCTGCTTTAAATATTGAGCCACCATGGGCAGCAAATTACCATGCTCACAAAAGAATGGCCAGTGAGTGGATTAACAAATACTAGCATCAGAGAAAACAGGATCGTCAATATAACCTTATATAATCGGACAACCTGACATCAGTCACTAGCTGACTCACCACAGCTTGTTCAAACAGTTCTCTCAGCTTCTGTTCAGATTCTCCAGACACTCCAGATACAATTTCTGTAGCAGCTACTTTCAGAATTGGAAGGTCAAGTTCCTATGCACAAATATATAAAAATAAAATAATGACCAAATTTTCAAATTTTAACTTCCCTACTTTTTCCTATTCAGTCCCTCTCTCAAAATTATATTTTAAAATGACTAATTTCCTGAAGAATGTCATCTTGTGTTGGTTCAATGAAAAACATTATTTAAAAATCTATGGTTTTATTCAAACGCACTGACTATAGATATCTTCTACCTGTCCTTACTTTATAGACATCACTATAAAACTGCTATTATCTCCTCTGAATAAAGGGTCTTGAATTTCCAGAGATAGGTCCCCCCAACTCCCCCGCTTAGGGCCGAGCCAAAACAGTTCTATCTATTGTTTACCTGCTGGAGAGGAAACAGCAGGGGCTGGGACACAGTTGTCTTCCATGTACTCTACCAGCATTTCTCCACCCCAAAATCAGATAAGTGGCCAGTTATGAGTCAGAGGAGACAGGCTTTTGCAGTTATGGAGGAGAAAATCCTGCTGTCCCACCCCTACAAACAATGACAAGTCTGCCTAAATCCTACTTATTCTTCTGGTCATCTAAAAATTTCACTTCTGACCCCAACTCTTAATTTGGGTATCCCAACAACAACCACATGGCATTCTGTAATTCTTCTGTCTCCCACTCATTACAATTTTAACTATGTAGACATTTATTTGTATGAATGTTTATGTCTGTCTCTCATATTAGACTGTAAAATTCCTTAAAGATAAAAAGTGGGTTTGTTATACTTATCACTACATTTTGATATCTGGCATGCAGAACTCACACAATAGATTTATTCAACAAATGAATAAATGAGGCAAATCCATCAAGTTCTCCTATAAAAGTGATTTTCTTTCACAGAGCACTAATCTAGTAGTGACCAGTATAGTATGCAGTTCTTCAAATTGAAGTTACTTGGACATTTTGTATTTTACTACCCATAGCTCCTGAAAAATATGATGAGAGTAAAATAAGATTGCTAACTTTCTACTTTGCTAAATAAGTATCTATTATCACCACTTTAGAAAGGATAATTTAATACTAAAAAGTATTAAGAACATGACTCTGAATGAAAATTTTCAATAAGTTTAGCTCTACGAAAAACAATAAATCCTTAGTTTTCTTATTTCAGTGATCTTAATAGAGAAGAAACTAAAATGTAAACTAAATATTAAAAAAAGAGTTGTTCACAACTATATGATTTTGCTTCCTATCCTACCCTTGCCATATAAATAACTGGATACATTAAAAAAATAGCATCTCACAAACAGCAAGCAGCCATGAATGAGGTAAAAAATAAAGGATTGGTCCCACTGAGAATATGCCAAGTCTGGTTCAAGTTGACCAAAGAGAAAAAACAAAAACTGGTAACAAATAAAAACAACGAAAGCAACCAAGTGTCCGCAAACCTCACCCCGGCAACCGCATGCGCAAGTAACGTCTTCCCACAGCCTGGCGGTCCGTGAAGGAGAACTCCGCGAGGGGGTATGACACCCAGATGCTGGTACACTTCCGGGTGACGCATGTGTATGAGCATCTTGCAGACTTCCTAGCAGGGAATAAACAGCAAAGATGTCTTTTCCAGCCCGACAGAGAAAGAATCAATGTGAAATAAAATGTTCTATTTTTTGGAGCAGTAAAATATAAGAAAGCAAGTCCAGGCCTTAGACTCACAGCTGACTCTGAATCCCAGCTCTGGTTCCTATTGTGTGACTTCAGCAGTAACCTCTCTGAACTCTTATTTCTTAAGCAGTAATATCATCTACCTTGTGGATATAACGAAAAGCAACCAGCATGGTAATTGGAATAGACACTAAAAAGTAACAGGAACCATTATTATTACTTTTAAACAATACTTACTAAGCATGTACTAATGTATATTATGATTAAAGTGGTGACAAAGATGAAGACATTATGCTTCTTTTATCCCTCAACACCCTGAAGGGTACGAGTCAGGTCTGCCTGCTCACCTTCCGAGTCTCCTTTTCTACACCCAGTTCCCATTAGAAACGAAGAGGCAGGCTTGGTTTGTAAAACTATATTCATAGCAATGTACCCACAGGAGGTAAAATTCTGAATCTGAATAACCTTTAATGTCGTATCATTGCCTCCAACATCTTCAAACTTCACGCTGGAGCTCTGAAATTCTAGCCCCTTGGCTTTAGCTGGTAAAGAAAAAAGGAGGTGAAAAGATTAGTGATTCAGTAGTAACTCTGAATTATATTTAATAATCCTTAAGTAAACAAGGCCCATGACATACTGAAATATCTTCCACTAAATGTGTCTGCACACAGACGGTCCCCCACGCAAACCGGCTTGGAAGAGTGATGCCTCTCTCCAAGCGAGCCCGGCCTCCGCCATCTGCAAGACTGGCATCGCACCTTTCTTTTGCAGGACAGCTTCTATTTCTCCATCCACTTCCTGAAGATCTTCTTTCTTCCTTTTGTTTTCTTTGCTCTTTAACCTGCCTTTCCTTTTTTCATTACTCTCCAGAAAAGACTCTTTTGAATCCTGGAAAGAAAAGAAATTTAAATGGTCTATCCTTGAAATTATAATGCCAACTTTCTTAAAATGGGCATTATTACAAAAATTCCTTCCTGCCCTGGCACTTTCACCTGTTAGCTCGTCCTAACCTCTTTGTTCAAGGATGTCTATCTTTTCCATAAACTTAGAGCTCAGTTTATATTTCCCAACATTTGAAAACTTCCTTTCCAGAGTCTCCTAGTTAGAATTAACCTCTTTCTCACATTCCCAGAACCCTGAATTTGAAACTCTATTATTATAGCCTACATAATCTGCCTTATGTTTGAGTGATTCATCTATGTCACTCCCGCTGAACTGTGAGCTTCTGGAGTTAGGTAACTAACGTTCATCTTTTATTTCTCACTGAGCCTTTTACATAGTTGGTGTTCATCTGATGTCTGACGAATCACTAATTAAATATGCCCACAGAGCTGCTTTGACAGCCATAAAAAAGTACAATTCAACGTAAGAGTCAAGCTCTTTCTCTGACCTTGCCAAACATGATGTTCTTTAAAAATAGACAATTAAAGCAAAGAGATTTGGAAAAAGGGTCCATTAATAATTCGAAAGGGGAAAGTTTTCGCCAATCAAAAGGCTTAGTTCTTGGAAAACACTAAGAGCAGCGCTGTCCAAGAGAAATACAATGAGAGTCACATACGTAATTTTTTATATTCTAGTAGCCCCATTTAAAAAAGAAAATTGAAATTAATTTAGTAACCCATTTTATTTAACCAAATATATTCAAAGCATCGTTTCAATATATAGTCAGTATAAAAATTATTGAGATGTCTTATAATGTTTTTTGTAGTAAGTCTTCAAAGATCAATATGAACTTTATGCTTATAGCACATCTCAATTTGGACACTAAATTTTCATAGGAAACACTTGATTTGTATTTAGATTTTATAAAGTTTACAGCTGAAAAAGTAGATTCTGTCTACGGTCATGCCCCCCTGAACAAGCCCAATCCCATCTGATCTCGGAAGCTAAGCAGGGTCAGGCCTGGTCAGTACTTGGATGGGAGACCACCTAGGAAGACCAGATGCTGTAGGCGTAAAAAATAAAAAATAAGGGATTGTTAGCTGACAAGGTCCTTGCAATCTGTGAGGTCAATCAACTAAGGGTTGCCTTGCCTAAAAAATTTTTTTAATTTTTAAAAATTAAAAAAAAAAGTAGCTTCTTTCCCAAATTATTCCAAATATACTTAGAGACTTTCTAATAACTGAGTTGACTCTTAAGTTTTTAAATTTAAATTTAAGATTCAGTTCCTCATTCCTCATTTGCACTAGCCACATTTCAAGTGCTCAAAAGCCACATGTGGCTAGCACTTACACACTGGATAGTAAGCCCTGGAACAAATATAGCTTCTACCCTGGGGCAGATTACGTTAAATCCCCTCTCATTCTGCTAGGCATTAAAAAGAATCAGTTAACAATGATGCCCAATATGTTCATTTTTTGATTCAAGCTTCGTTTTTCTTTATGTACAGTATATTTCTATTTAAAACGGTTTAAAAAATCGGGTGTCTACTTATTCTATACATTTTCATACTGTATCGATTTATGTAGTATCCCTTAAGGTGTCATCCTAAATCAAAATAAATCACATTGCCATTTTAGGAGCTATCTTCCCTTCTTCCTACAGCAATCAACTTTCTGTAATGCTCTCCCCCCAAGCAGTAATTCTTAACTCTCACCAGTAAATGCATCTCAGAAAGTTCATTAGGCAGTAATTCAGCAAACAGACTGGCTACTACATGCTAGATGTATTTTAGGCAGGGATACACTATTAAAGAAAACAAAGTCCCTGGCTCTCCTGGAACGGACATTCTAGTGGGGGCGGACAAAGAAAAAATCCCAACTAAACAATTATGTGATAAATCAAGTGGTTTTAAGTGCTTTAAAAAAAGAAAGCAGGGTTAGGAAACAGAGCATCCAAAGATGTGCTGTTTTACTTGTCAAGAAAGGCCTCTCTGGCAAGATTACAGTGAAGAGAGATGTGACAAATGATGGAGGGAACCACAGGAATCTGGGGAGAGTTCCGCACAGAACCACTGATGCAAATACCCAAGTGAGAGGGTGCTCGGTGTGCTCTAAAACAGCAAGATGCTGCTGTGGCTGAAGCAAAGCTGGGAGGTCACGGTGAAGAGTAGCAGATGAGACAGAGGCAGCCAGGCAGCCAGGCAGCCAAATCACACAGGGCTTTATAAGCAATTGCAATATCTTTTATTTTAGACTGAATAAATTCATTGGAGGCTTTTTAATATAAGAATGACAGTGATCTGACCAAACCTGTAAAAGAAAAGTCTATGTGTGAAGAATAAACTAGGGAAACAAGACCAGAAGTACATTCCAGATGGAGGTTATTTCCATAGTTAAGCAAAACAGAGTAGAGGGCGGATGAGGATGCAAATGATGGGAGCAGTGAAAAGTGATCAAATTCTACATGTCTTTCAAAGTTCATATGTCTTCTACATAACACAAGAATCTGCTTGATATATTCAATGAAAAGACTATAATGTACTTTAACTCTGTGGAACTAAAATTTCACTACAAAAATACCTCTATTTCAGATACTGGCTTCTTATGATTACTTTTCTCATCTGACAGGTCCAAGAAAAAACCGTCCTTCTTTCCACCTGGAGTTGTGTCAATAAACCATCCTCCTTCAGAACCTCTGGCAGGGGTCTTCGAAGCAATGGAGCCTGTTTTGGAAGTTATCGGTGGTTGTGAAACAGTGGTTTCTCTTTGCTCCATCTCAAGAGTACTTGAAACAGAATCCGGATTTCCTTTCCGATATAAGGAGAGCAGGGAAGTGTTCATATGATTTGCTGACTGGTAGAAACATGATTTTAGCATAAATCATTACAGAGGTACTCATCCAAGTTTGATTAAGTTTTCTACATTTTGCTTTCAACTTTTCTCATAACATTTACAATCAGAAAATACAGGTGTTCACAAAAAGATGATTCACAAACATTTACTATGCAAGATGTTGGATCCCCCTGCACTCCAAGTTAACGTACCAATCCATAATTGGCAATTAAATAAAACCAAGTAAGAACAGCCACTTTTTCAAAATACAACAGAAGTATGAAAATAAGCAGGTAGTCAGTGAGTCATTACTAACCTATCAATTCAAAACTAGTTCACATATAACGCAGTATCATCATGAGTTTGTTAATAAATTCAAAAATTGAATTACTTATGGGGGGAAAAACAGAGTAAGTTACAAATAATTTGACATATTATTCCAGTACTTCTCTTTAATCCAAGCCTATTTATTGGCAATGCGGCTCTTTGGCAGAAAATGTTACCCTTTTCTCCATTTTGACTATTAACTCCCCTTTCTATTAATGTCTGCCCTTATTTCTGGCCATTCTCTTCCCCTCTTTTTCCATGTATAATAGGCCACAAATACAATTACTGGAAAGATAGCTATTCTAAGAATTTATCAACAGTGTACACAGAAAATTTTCAATTATTCATTGATGAAGATGTTCAAAGTCTCTTATTCTAGTCCTCATTATTGTTTTCTAAGGAGAGTTCATAATGATTAAAAGAAAATCAGAGTGGGTCCATTAAATGTTTGGCTTACCTGTGGATCTGGGTAATCTTCCATATTTGAGTCATCATCTGAATAGCTTTCAGTATACCTCAGTAAAAAGAGGAAAAGAAACATTTTAAAGGCTTTTCTCCCACATCCTAAAAAAATTACTACCTAAAACAAGAAAATATACTGAGGCAGAATATTATGGTTGTTAAGAGTGCAGGCTCTAGAATCAGAGAAATTTAGATTCAAAATCCAGCTTTACCAGTTACTAAATTTCATTTAACCTCTCTGGGCCTCAGAATCGAAATAATAAATAATGTGTATCTCACTGGATTAATAGAGAATGAAACGAAAGCTTGCATAGTCCTTAGTACATTGTAAATGCTTAAAAAACTGTGGTTATAGTTAGACAAGCAATAAATGAAAGTGAAATGCAAATTCCCATCAGACCTTCGGGTCTCATTTAGAAATATCAGATGCTGGGAAAGGAAAGATTACAACAAGCCATAATTAAGCACTTTGAGTAACAAATTCAAATTCAACATGACCAAGCCATGTGACCAAAATGTAACTTTTCCAAGTACGTTCATGACGAACAAAGGTACAAAGTTTTTCATGCAATATGGCAAAAAAAAAAAAAAAAAAAAAAAAAAAAAAAAAAAAAAAAAAAAAAAAAAAAAAAAAAAAAAAAAAAAAAAAAAAAAAAAAAAAAAAAAAAAGAGTATAAATCCTGATAACTACAAACTGAGAATGTAAGTTTCAATTCATTATAACCAGGAGTTGATATCTAATAGCTTCAAATAATTATAGGACTCTGGTACTATTTAATACAGTTCTTTTAAGGAAATAATTAAATAAGAAAAAAGCTTTTTCTAAGTAAAAAGGTTTACATGGATGCCTTTATAAGTAAGCCATGAAGTCTTCTGTTATTCTGTTATTCTTCTGTTATTCAAATAAAATAACTTCAGGCATTTCTTTTCAATGTAAATAAGACAGATTATTCATCTATATGGAAAAAAATTGTTTTGCCCTACAATTCATGTCCTACAAAATTAATTATAAGTAGATTAAATGTAATAGTATAAAGAAACAATAAAAAAGTATAGGTAATTACTCTATATACTCTTATGACAGAGGTCTAAATATATCACATAAACCATAAAGGAAAAGACTGATAGATCTGACCAGGTAAAGATGTAGAATTTCTCTAATCAAAAGACATTATTAATAGAAAAAAAAAGGCAAATGGCAAAATGGAACATGCATTTTCAATACATATAAAAAGAGGTGCTATTTTATACAAAGAACTCTGAAAACTAATAAGGAAAATTCAAATACCTCTCAAATTAAAGAAAAAACCCATTAGCAAGCAAGTCACAAAGGAAACATGAAACAGTCCAAAAAATTAACCTCATTAGTTATTAAAAAATTTCAAGTAAGAACAATATGATTGATTTTTGCCTATAAAACTGGCAAAAATTAAATAATAGTATAACTAGATTGCAAGGGTACAGAGAAGTATACTCTTTATACAAAGCTGTTGGAGTATAAACTGAGGTAACATTTTCTGGAGGGCAATTCCAAATGTACTCAAAAACATAAGCTCAAAAATATAAATCTCTCTAACCCCAGAAATACTTCAGGATTTTAACATTAAAAAAAAAACACAAAAAAATGTGTACAAAGAATTTGCAATAACGAATTTACTACATATACAATAGTGTAAAACTGGAGACAACTAATGTCCAACAATATGAAGCTAGTTAAAAAAAATTATAGTAAATTCAAATGAAAAAGCAGCAGCTACAAAGAACATAAAGGAGATACCACCACAGATCCTATAGACATTAAAAAGAAAATGAGAATATTTTCAAAGCTTTATGCCAACAAATTTCACATCTTAGATGAAACAAATTTCTTTATAAGTACAATTTACCAACATTGACATAAGAAGAAAAAGAAAATAGGAAGATCCTTCTATCTAGGTAAATTAAATGTTACCAAAATCCTTTCCAAAAACATCATTTCAGGCCTAGATGATTCTGGGTGAATGTTAAGAAAGAGTCAAGAAAGAAATACCAGTAACGTTACGTAAACTTTTTTGTAAAATACAGACAAAAAAAAATCTTCCAACTAATATAAGGCTAGTATAACCTTAATAACAAAACCTGACAAAGACATTGAGGAAAAGGAAAAAACTCAGACCGATATGAATATAGACAGAAACATGTATAAAAAAAGATTAGCAAATACAATTCAACAATACATGAAAAAGTTAATATATCAGGACCAAGTAGGGTTTATTCAAAGAAAGCAAGAATGTCTTAACACTCAAAAAATCAATGTAATTCATCAAATTAATAAAGGGAGAAAGCCATAATAAAATCTTTCAATAAGTACATAAAAAGCATTTGATAAATGTAATACCTGTTCATGATAAACTCTCAGCAAACTATGAATATTAGGAAACTTCCTTATTCTGATAAAGGGCAACCATAAAAAAAAAACAAAAACCAAAACTGTAGTTGACATCACACTTATGGTGAAAATCTAGACTGACCATACAAAGTGTTGCTAATATGTGGAATGAGTGGAAATCTCACATATTGCTAATGTAAAGGTAAAATGGTACAAACACAGTTCACCAGTTTCTTATACAGATAACTTTGCAGTTACCATATGACTCAGCTGTTCCACTTCTAGACATTTACCAAAGGAACTGAAAACACTCTCCACTTAAAAGTCTTGGAAATAAGTGTTCATAGGTGCTTTCTCTGTAATAGCCAAAGTGTGGAAACAATCCAACTATCCATCAACAGATAAATGATACATGGCATATCAACACATACTCAGCAAAAAGCAATGAACTATTGACATATACAACACTGATAAATCTCAAAAGCATTATGCTAAATGAAAGAGTCCAGATTTTACAAGTATATACTGTGTGATTCTATTTATATAAAATTATAGAAAATGCAAACTAACGTATGGTGACCGAAAGCAAATCAATGGCTGTCTGGGAATGGGGGTGGAGGGAGAAATAAACTGCCAACAGAAAACTTCTGGGGTTGATGGAAATGTTTGGTATCTCGCTTATGGTGGTTTAATGCGCCTATACATATGGCAAAACTCAACAAATTGTGTATTTAAAAAATGTACAGCTTATTGTATGTCAATTATATTGCAATAAAGTTATAAAAACTCAAGAATATTATTTTTTAACAACAAAATTAGGTGGCACCTTTTTATGTATCCGGCATTGTATGAGGGCAGAGAAAAACAAAGATAATGAGACAGTTTTGGTAATGCAAACAGGTCAACAAATAATCTCAATGCCATATAACATGATGAGTATTAGCATAAATATCTGTAAGTAGGAGTTAAGGAAACACTAAGAGTCTAAAAAAGCCTGACAAAGGCAGTAACACAGGCTTTTGAAGGCTGACTCTTGAAGGCTGAGTGGGAGATCGTGAAAGAAATGAACACTCCAGTTGCAGGAAACTACCCATACAAAGGTACAAAGAATCTGGCCTCTTTGGGGAACAGTGAGCATTCAGTATGTCTGAAGTTAAAGACTGGAGAGGTTAGGTGAGCACAATGCAAGGCCTCACTGGCCACGAGAACCATGGGAAGTTTTACAAGTAGGTGATAGGTTCATGTAGAAAATCCCTCTAATTTGTAATCCTTACTCATTATCCTCTTCACCTGGTCTTGCTCTTTTTGCCAGATGCTCATCTTCTAATTCCGTTAGATTCTTAAGTTCTTTCTCACTAGTAATTACGCTAAATACTGAAACAAAAAGAAAAATGTCATAAGCTAAAACAATTCTTTCTATAACTCTATTAGTAATTCAGCTCTAACACTAAAAGACTCACCTTTTTCTACCTGAATCCTAAAAGCATTTCTTTTTCTTCGACCATAGTCTATACTGAAAAACATAAGAGAAGTTTAGTACAGTGGTCTTCCCAACATTTTTCCATGAAGCACGATTTAATCACATAAACTTGCATTAATATATATTTGTCACTGTATTCACACTGATCATAAACCTATTTTCAAACAACTGTGGAGTTTATATTTTTACTAGTGCAATTTTTCTTGATTAGAAATGGGGTTGATCAGAAACACTGTCAGCTTGTACTGAAGGGGATAGAGACGGGATGAAATGAAGGAAGGCTGCTGGACTTCTGGGATTCTACAGGAGGGGCCAAGGGAGCTGTGGACGTGCATTATCCTTAAAGAAAAGGGAAGGACGACTACAAAGGAAGCCCAGAGGTTGGCAGGGCTGCCACTGCCATCATGGGTCCCAGGGGCACAGGCCTGGCAAGTGGCACCATCTCCTCCTCAGTTCTAAAGGGCAGGGCAGCCATTCCAGTGAGCCCACTGACAGGGCACTGAGCTGAGAGGAATTATTCTTAAAGTCCAGTGGAGTCTGCCCTGCTAGGTTTCAGACTTGAGACCATGATCCCTTTCTTCTTTCCCATTTTTCCTTTTGGAATAAGAATGTTTACCCTATGCCTGTCTCACCATTATATTTGGGAAGCAGAGAACTTGTCTGGTTTCACACGTTCACAGCTGGAGAGGAATTTTGCCTCAGGATGAATCATAGCTGCAGTTACACCCAGACCTGAGTTAGATGCAATTTAGACGAGATTTTGGATTTAGAGTTGAAATGGGTTAAGACGTCTGGAGCTCCTGGGATAGAATGAGTGCATTTCTAAGTGAGGAGAACACGAATTTTGCGTGGCAAGAAGGCAGAGTGTTATGACCTGGACTGTGTCCCTCCAAAAGCCATATGCTGATGTCCTACCCCTGACTACCTCAGAATGTTACTGTATTTGGAGACAGGACCTTTAAAGATGTAACTGAGGTAAAATGAGGTCATATTGGTGGGCCCTAATCCAATATGACTGGTACCTTTATAAGAACGAGAAATTAGGATGCAGACACCCACAGAGGAAAGACCATGTGAAGAACACATAGGGAGAAGTCAGCCATCTACAAGCCAAGGAGACACATCAAAAGAAATCAATCCTGTCAATGCCTTGATCTTGGACGTCTAGCCTCCAAAACTGTGAAAAACTAAATTTCAGTTGTTTCAGGCACCCAGTCTATGACACTTTTTAATGAGAGCCCTAACAAATTAATACGTGGACTAAGGAGAAGAAAACAGAGACACCAAAAGAGACAATGCAGGAGTAATTAATGAAGCAAGGTATCAGAAGAGGTGGGGTTAGAAGCACAAGACAAGGATTTAATCTCCAGCGGGAAGACTAAACAAGTGACACATTTCTAGGAAGAGAGTCAGGAAGCTGTGGGAGATCGTGCCTGATGGTTTTGCTTAGTGAAGCAGGAAAAGAATGCTCCTGACCAGACTGGAAGGCAGTGAAGATAAGATCCCCTCTAGTAATAAGGACGGCTCCTCGCGTGTAACAGGTACTTGAGAAATATTTTGTGTAATAGAATTGAATTCCAAACTCAGGGACTGGTGAACTAATGCCAGCAGCTATTTATTCAATTGGAAATTTAGGCAGGATAGAAACTTTTTAAATGGTAGGAAAAGAAAGAAAACCAAGAATCTGGAGATTACATTTCTTTACCTGTACATTCTTTGTAAATCAGATGCTAAGACTCCAGTGTCCACATATTTGCCACACCTGTTACTGGTGAGGTACTAAAACAGAAAATATGATAAATATAAAACACACAATATTTCAGACTTCACGCTTTTAATCAACAAATAAGAGACTGAGCTATTCAAACATTTATACAGATGCTCCTTGATTTACAATGGTGTTACATCATTTACGATGGGGTTACACCTTGATCAACCCACTGTTTAAGTTGAAAATATCAGTCGAAAGTGCATTTAATACATTGAAGCTACTGAACATCATAGCCTAGCCTAGCCTACCTTAAACATGCTCAGTACACTTGCATTAGACTCCAGCTGGGCAAAATTATCTGACACAACGAATACACCATGGAGTATTGGTGACTGACCCTCGTGATCATGTGGCTGATGGAGCTATGGCTCACGACCACTGCCAGTATCATCAGAGAGTATCTTACCACATATCCCTAGCATAGGAAAAGGTTAAAATTCAAAATTCAAAGTACAGTTTCTACTGAATGTGTACCACTTTCTTTCACTCCACCATAAAGTGGAAAAATCGTAATTCAGGGACGGTCTGCACTTTAATGTAAACTTGCTAACAGAGCACATCAGAAACATAAATAAAAATCACCATATCGTTGTCAAGTCTGAAATCAGAGAGTTTAATAAACATTATTAATCACGATGACAACACAAAAACGATAACTAGAATAGCTATTAGTGAGGGCTTACATATATCCTAGGTTCCCAAACACCCCAGAACAATGCATAAACTCCCAAGAGCACCAAGGGATATTTTAAATTTGAGGGAACACAGTAATATTTGACATCTGTTCAACACTGCAGGAACTACAGTCTGACACAATTCATGGTTTCAATATTAAATCACCTTTTGATGATGTCATATTTTTTGCAAAACTGGGTTTTCAGCAATTGCTGTCATAAAAAGCAAATCCCATGCAAAAATCGAAGTGGAAAAGGATATAAGAGTGGCAGTGTCAATATGCTTGCAAAGTCTGAAAAGCTGTATAGCGTTCAACAGGCACACAAATCCTACTAGTAATTGTTGTTATGTAAGAATGAAATACAACATATTCATTTTCCTCTTTTACATGTTACTTTTCAAAAACCTACTAAGTTATTTAAACTAAGTAGTTATTGAGCTGCTTGAACCTAACTACTTAATAAACAGACCTCTTAGGTATTATTTTTGGCCTGGGCACACCATGAAAAAATTACTGAGAAACTAAGGGCCCTGTGAACCTATTCTAGGGACATTTTACACATTACTCTTTTAATACGCACAATCCCAAGAGGCAGATGTTAGTCTCCCCCATTTTATAAATGAGGAAGTTTAAATGAGACTTTAAAAGATTACTTGCTCAGAAGCACATAAGTTACAGGGCCAAGTTTCAAATATCTAGCCATAAACTTCCATGTTTTTGTACTTGCTAGTTATCCAGGAGAAAAAGGAAAAAAAAAAAAAAAGGCAAAAAAGACAAAAAAGTAGGCAGGGAACAAAATATGCAGGGCTTTTTTGGGTAGGTTTGACTCCACAGGCCACTGGCAAACTCCAGTTTTCCCTTTAAAAGGATCTCCCCAGTTGTTCTCTGGGTAACGGACTAGGTAAAACTAGAATCTGAGAGGATCAGGTAGGAAGATATTGCAATAGTCTAATAAAGGGATGGTGGTTGGGACTAGGATAGTTGGAGGAGGAGATGGTAGAAAGTGGTTGAGTATGGAGTACATTTTGAGAGCAAAGTCAAATAGATTGCTATTCATTGGTTGCAGGAAGCAAAAGGAAGCAGTCAGAATGATTCTTAAGGTTTTTGGCCTTAACGAATGGATGGATGGTGATGAGATTTACTGAAACAGAGGACATTAAGAAAGGACAGCCTTAGGGGAGAATATCTTAAGTTCAGTTTCGACTCGTGAAATTGCAGATGCCTAAGAGACACTCAAGAGATTTGAGTAGGCAGTTAGATGGTCAATCGGGAATTCAAGACAGTCTGCAGTGGAGATACAAATCTAGGAAATCTAGGAGTCGTGAATATATAGCAGTCGTGAATATATAGATAGTATTTAAAGGCATTATATTGGATGAGACTACCTGTGTCTATTATAAAGTCTGATCCACATTATCTATATTTACTGTGTCCCAACCCGACCCCAAGTTTCTTGAGAATGAAAATTAACGTATCCTTTATGACCACCAATGAGCTCCGTACAACGCGGGCGTCTGAAGAACTGTTCTGTCCTAATTTCACAAGAAAGGAAGATTTTAACTCAAAAGCCGACCCGGGAGGCCCACCAGGCTGCACCCTCCCACTTTCTTGGGCTCCTTCTTGAAACTCCGCCCCATAGAGGGGAGGCCAGGCCCTGGACCACCCGCACAGGAGAACTGTCAACAGTCCCACGCCGAACCCAGCCTGGGGCGGCCGGTCAAGTTCGACCAGGGAGCCTCCCTAAGAAGGGGCCCTTGGGCAGCGAACGCAGATCACTGTGAGGCCCGGCCGTGCAGGATACAAACCTGGATGACTCGCTGCTTCAGCTTATTATCCACGAAACTTGCGGGTCTAGGCTTCATCTCGTTCGTCTCCGCTACCTCAGCGGGGCCAGCTCGCCTCACGTGAACCGGGGGCTTCCCAGGGGCTGCCCGCGGCGATCGCCGGGTCAGCTGCACCCGAAATGCGCCTCACGAGCCTGCTCCACGCCGTTCTCTGCAGCACTTTTGTACCGCGAGTCAATGAAAAAATAAAAACACCAAGAACAAAGGGCAGATCTGAAAACATCAGAAAGTGTCTAGGAGTCTTATTTTGCAGGCTCGTCCAACGGGCCCTGGATGACAAGGACCCTTTTGAACAAGCTCAACTTTATTGTTTCCAACTGTGCGAACACGTGCACGCGAGGCTGCGGGGAGTTTCCCGCTGGGGCTGTCACCGGTGTTTGTTGGTAATCTTGCTTTTGTTTCTTATTCCAGCTGTTCCAGCCACACCCTGTTCGGATGCAGAGTTATTCTTGGCTTAGAAGTTTAACAAAACCCAAAGCTGTAGGTAGATAGAATTTGGACCAGGGTTTAAACACTGCCGCCCGCTACTTGCTTTTCCACCCAATTACCCACTTCTGGAGGCCAGCACAGGGGCTGGGTGTCAAAAAACAAGAAAAGACTGGTTTACCCAGATGACTAAACCATCTGTTACATTCGGAAATCATTTAATCTTATGCCATTTTCAACATAATTTGTTCAACACATTCAGTGCAAGACTCCGTCTTGGCTTGGAAACTGCCCAGAATTTTGTTAAATATATGTATTTGCCCTCAAAAGTTTATTGTGCTGTTAAGGAGACACGAATAAAGGGACAATTATCATTAATCCAAAAAAGGAAATAGAAAAAATTACCGACTTTAGTTTCTGTTTTCTTGCTTGTTTCAATTGTATTTGCGATATTCTTATTTGAGGTACTATATGGCTTTTAAAAATATCAGGTGCAGCCTAAGTAGAGTGTTGAGGTGTTGGAGAAGGTGGAGAGGAGATGGAATTAAGAGAAGGTAGTGATATGTTAACAGACAACTCTTCTTACTCAGGGTGCTACTGACTAATTTTCAGTTTAAAATTCAGATTGTATCACTGTTCTTTTCAATGGTTCTTACCTGAACACTGAGTAAAGTATAGATTGTCACTCTGATATTCAATACAATGGTCACCTTGGGCTCCAACTTCATCTCCTACTTCATTATATATGTACTCTTTTTTTGGCTAAGTAGCATTGTCTGCATTTACTCAGTCAACGAATATTTATTGAAGGCTGACTATTTCACAGACACTGGGTCCAGCTATGAAGAAACAGGAAAGATTTCTGCTTCTGTGGGGCTTACAGTTCTATTAAAAGGTAATCATAATAAATTATACACAGCACTTTGCTTCCACTGACATTTCCTCTTGTTTACAATGCCCTTCCTGCCAGCCTATGACTTTTAGAATCCTCGCTAACTGTCTCCCTTTCAGTCTTTTCTGGTATTTCCCATTGTTAAAATCTCTACCCATTCATTTAACAAGTATTTATTGAGCGCCTACCAGTTTCAGTCCCTGCCCTGCCCTTGGGTCTTGTGGGGAAAAGCAAAAGAATTATAATCAATTTTTTATAACATTTTTTATTAAAGTATTTATGCGCTTGATTATATTAAACTTTAGCAAAGATTCCCTACAGCAAATAGTACAATTATAGTCGATGTCCAGTAACTTTTTTAATGAAATTTAATTCCATGCGTGCCAGACATACCACAAAGAATGAAAATAGGCTGAAGGCCCAGCAGCATCACAATGTACACGAAGCAGCATAGTTATTAGTCTATAATTTGTCATAGAATACTATTCTATATTTAAGGTTGATTTCATGGGTGTGCAGTCTGTGCAGTCACAAAGGGCTTTGTGCTCAGAAGGGCCTCACATTTGGTTTTAATGCTCTGCCGTTGCCATCTTGACATTCTAAATATTACTTTTTGAACAAGTCACCCTTTAATTTCACACTGGGCCTTGCAAAAAACCTGTAGAGACCTGAAATACTCTAGAATGGCACCTTAAGGTGCTAATAACTCAGATTTCTAATCAAGTTCGTCTTCTTTTGAGGTGATTGCCTCATTCAGATCCCTAATAGAATGAAAATAATATATCAATCTGACATTTTATGCAAGATGACCGTATCAAGCGCAGTAGGCAATAATTGAAAGTTAATACTGAATGCCAATAACAGTATGCTTGACCATTTTTCCATTGGTTATTTCCAGTAATTATTGCCCTGAAGACAATTTTACATTAAGTCCAGTGTTCAGGTTTTACAGTACCATACATCTAAACCAAAAAGGTTACTGAATAGTAACCTGAGCGCATGTACATCTCAAGAACTTCCAGCAGTAATAAAAAATGTCCTCCATTCTTTAATGGTGCAACCCCACCTGGTGGTAGTGGCACATTTCACCTTCTGTTCTTGGCACCTGTGTATCCTAAACTTTGTATCCCACTAGCAAACAGCCTCTTGTCTTTATGGAAATAAAATCACCTAAATAAGAATAGATAAAGACTGTTCAGGGCTTGCAATAGCAAGGGAGTCAGCCACCGTCACTTGCATTTTAGCACAGACTCAAAGGCAGGCAGAGAACTGTGGAAGCTTAATAACCGAAAAAGGGAAGACTTCAGATCTGACCTGAATTGAAGACTGATGGCATGGGGGAGTTGTAGATACGCTGACTAGAAACAGGATATCCTGCGTGACTAATTAGGGAAGCATATTGGCTTTCTCTGGATGGTTGTAAGTTGAAAGAACAGGGAGAAAAATTAGGAAAGCTGTCAGTTATTAACGGAGTCCTAGCCATTTGGAGCCAATTGTTACAGGGTTTATTGTTTGGCTTCCTGGATTGTTTGCTAGAGATAATGGTCTGACTTCCTGTAGGTCTGACTGGTAGATAGCAGACTGGCTTCCTGATCGTAAGTCAGAGTTCTGTTTTTATATATGGTCTGGTCATTGTTCATTTGTATATGCAGTTTCTCACCTTTATCTTTTGAAAGGGTTCCAGTTTGGACAATAAATTATAAGGTCATTGTATATGTAATAGGAACATGGATTAAAAGGGCAGAGTGTGCACGGTAGAGGTCCCTTGCTGAGGTTCAGAGGGGAGGTTGCCTGCTAGCTGGAAGCTGGAGACTGAGTCTGTATCCATGTTTTCTGAAGTTAAGGAAAAAAGTCTTTGATTTTTTTTTATTTGGTAAAAGCTAATAATTCAGATTTCTAATCAAGTTTGTCTTCCTTTGAGGTGATTGCCTCATTCATATCCCTAATAGAATGAAAATAATATATCAATCTGACATTTTATGCATTCAGTCTACCAATGTTTTGTATACTATATGCCAATTACTATGCTAAAGTCAGAGGGTACAGTGGTGATCAAGCAGATGGGGTCTTGGAACTTATGTTCTAGTGAGAGGAACAGGCAATGGACTGACAAAACAATAAACATAATTACAATAATGAGAAAGAATGGGGATTTTATAGCCCTTGGAAGAGCACCTTTCATATAGAATGTTTTCATTGAATAATTGCTAAGTAAATGAATGAAAATAGTGAAGTAAATGATCAGGGTACTGTGATAGAGAATAACAAAGGGAGCCTACCTCAGTCTCAGTGATCAGAGAAAGACTTGCTGAGAATGTGACATAAGGACCTTAGGGATGGCAGGAACTGGTTGTGTTGGAAGAGAGTTTCAGGCAGAGAGTGTGTGCAAAGGCCCTAAAGCAGAAAAGAAGTTGACCTATTCACGGAACAGGAAGAGAAAAATAAGTTTCGTTCTTGTTTAAATCACCATTATTTGGGTTTCTGTCATTTATAACCAACGTTAGTTCGAATGAATGTAGGTTATTTGAAAGAATTTCAAAAGTTGAGTCTAAGAGTAATGTGAAAAACAAATGGCCAAGAAGAGACAAAGATTCTTGAATAAGAACTCAGTATTGCTATTCTTTTTTTTAAAAAAAGTCTATTAAGGTATCATCTATCTATATATCCATTTTTGGTATATAAGTCAATTTTTTACAGTACATTTACAGTGTTGTACAAATATCACCACTGTATAGTTCGAAAACGTATTCAATTAAGCTGTCACTCAACATTCCTCCCCTTCCCCAGGCCCTAGAAAACACTAAGCTACATTTTCTCTCTATGGATTTGCTTCTTATGGACATTGTATATACATGGAATCATATAATATATGACATTTTGTGTCTGGCTTCTTTCATTTAGCATAGTTTGTTTTCAAGGTTATATCCAGGTTGTAGCATATATTGGTATTTTATTCCTTTTTATGGTTGGATAATATTCCATTGTATGAATATATCACATATTATTTATCCAATTACTAACCAGGCCCAATCCTGCTTAGATTCCGAGATCAGGTATAGGGCATGTTCAGGGTGGCATGGCTGTAGACTGGTTTTAGTTTCAACAGCATATAGAAACCTTGCTATTATATATATAGGTTTGTCTCTCTCATTACATTGTTATTGTCACATAGTACATCTTTATAAATCGTGTCTGACAACAGATTTATAATTATAGTTTTATGTAGTTGTATTTTAATTTGTTGAGATATAATTGACATATAACATTGTATTAGTTTCAGATATACAACATAAGATTTGATATTTGTATATATTGTGAAATGATCACCACGATAAGTCTAGTTAAGATCTATCATAATTATGGTTATGATTCACTTTTCTCTAATGATTAATGATGTTGAGCATCTTTTCATATGCTTATTGGCTATTTGAATATCTTCTTGGAGAAATGTCTGTTCCAGTCCTTGCCCATTTTGTAATTAGGTTATTTGGGGGTTTTTTTTGGTGTCGTATTGTAAGAGTTCTTTATATATTCTGGATGTTAATCTCTTATCAGATATATGATTTTAAATATTTTCTCCTATTCCATAGGTTGCCTTTTTATTCTGTTGATTGCTTCCCTTGATGCACAGACATTTTTAAGTTTGATCTAGTTCCATTGGTCTATTTTTGCTTTCGTTGCCAGTGCTTTTTTGTTTTATATACAAGAAATCACTGCCAAAATCCAATATTATGAAACTTTCCTATATGTTTTCTTTAGGAGTTTTATAGTGTTTTGTCTTTAATAAAATCTGAACTAATTTTAGTAAAATCTTTGCTAATAGTGAATATGGGTCATTCATTTGGCAAACATTTTTTAAGCACTAGCTATTATTTACAGGGTAGATGATGCTGGGGGTAGAAAAACATAAAATGTGTTACTTCTATCATAGGCTAAGGTGTGGCTGGCTAGGCATGTAATGAAGATAATATGATGAATGTTCTGCTAGGGTTATGTACAAGGTGCAGTAGGAGTGTAGTGAGAGCTGGTTTATAAATAATCTGTTCACAGTCTATCTCGTTTTAA